CCACGACCCGAAAGACCCGGGTCATTCGGCACGATAACGAGGCAAATGAGAAACACTGCGCCTGGAATACCCCAGGGTCTCTCGTCTCCCCACCTCGATGCACGGCAAGAGTGTTGCAACGATCCCAACACAGACCATACAGAGGTTCTCAACCGCTACGATAGAAGCGTAAACGTCATAGAAGTGAAACGGATGTAAGTGAAAATTCGTAACTCAGAAATCCCGCGTAGTGGCACGTGGATCGGCTAAAGAAATGCAGTAAAAATTGGACAGACGTATGACGATCGATAATAATGAAGAGTCTTTGGACGTATAAAATTTTTACGTCTTACGAACGGAGAGGAGCGGTCTGAGTGAATTTGGATAATTAAGAGAAATGTTTTAATAAAATTTTGGAAAATTTTATTTCTACTACGAGTATCGATAATTCATTGAGAACCACTGGTGGGACTTCAGTGGGCGGCAGTGGTCCCCTCATCAAATGCTTGTCATACCGTTCTTACCCCAAACCCCAAACCTAACGGATCCCCACTGCCTAAAGCCCCCCCCCCGTCCCTCCCCCCTTCATCGAGAAGCTTCCCAAGTCCCACAACCGACCATACCCCATAACCCCTAGGCTATGGACTATGCGCGCTTCTAGACCCCTGCGATATAGACCGGGCAAGAATTATACTACTAAAACCCACCAATTACCTAAGGCACTGTTTCCGCGGGGCTGCTTCTACGCTCTTTCGGTTTTCGATGGCCTAGCGTGTCTGTCGCTGGGACTGTGATATGTTTGTGGAATTATTGATGCAATGTTGTTTGGTATTGGGATCGTTTTACAGGCACGTGAACGTGGCTCTTTTTCTGTTACGCTTTACTCGGCGCCACTTGATTCGGGTACTGGGAGCAGTTTGCTTCGAGGTCAAAAGTAAAGTGTTCGTAAATACTGATGAGAATGGGCAAATTATATTTTTGCGATATCGAAACCGATCGGATGGATTGGAGTGGCGCGGACAATTTTTGAGAATCGAAGGCAATCAATTGTTTACGGTGAAAATAAGTGTTCGGAAATACTAACAAAATTTCACGTATTTTTTACATTTAATTTTAATCGGACGGATCGGCTAAAGGGTGGGAGGTGAATTTTTTTAAAATATATCCCATGAATCGATCGACGTCTTAGATCGGCCGCTGAACTTATGCCGTATATTTTTTAGTTGAATTCGGAAAAGCAAATATGAAAAATGAAAAAAGTGGCCGGTACGAAAAAAAAAAAAAACAAATTCTAAAAGACGACTTTGCCGGACGGCAAAAACGCTTCACGGTCGATGTAACGATTTTTCGTCTGGGATGAGCTTTTCAATTGTCCCCGAAGCGCAATTTGGAAGCCGAGCAACTCGGCGAACAATTAGTCGTGACGCAATTTGATTAGCGATTGTCATTGCCTCATTTTTTCCTCTTTGCCGCTCTGGTTCTTTTTTGTATTTTTTTTCCTGTTTTTTTTTTTTTTTTTTTTTTTTTTTTTTTTTTTTTTTTTTTTCCCTTTACTCCCGGGAATATTTTTTTCATTGGCCATTGTGGGTACTCGTCTGCATTATTATTATTACCCCCTGCCCCTCCCCTACCACTTTAATCTTCACCGCAACAAAAAATTGTTCTCTCTATAATCTGCGCCAATGAGAATGGCAAACGAACTCGGCGCCTCGATATCTCGCGTCTCGTGTCTCTTCGGCGGATTCTTTTCACTTACTCTTTTTTCTGGCGCTCATTCAACGTTTTAATTACTTTTTTTTTTTTCTTCACCCTCTTCTTTGCTCCCCGTTAACCCTCGCCGAGATTAGCGAATTTCGACTAACAATTCAATTAAATACATTGGCGCCTTCCACGCTCCTTATTCCACCTTATCAATTCGCGTGGAATTGGTTTTCCAACTTAAAAAAAAAAACTTAGATAAGACGTTTTTTCGCGTTCGTTCCATGCGATTCATAAAAAAAAAAAAAAAAAAAATTGTCAAAATTTCAAAACCAAAATCGCTCGGATCGATCTTGAAAAAAAAAAAGAAATACCCATAGATTTTTATATATCGCTCGGATAACGAACTCGCTTGAGAGTCAAATGGGAAAGAGAGGGTGGCTGTGAGTAAAAGAGAAAGGTGAAAAATAAAAAAAAAACGTAAAAATCTTTTGTTACATAGCAACCCTATCTGCAGCGTGCACGCGTGCACTCGTCCAACGTAAAGCGGGGAGGGAAAATAAAAAAAAAAAAGAATTCACACCAAGTCGCTCTACCAGCCGATCGTCCCCTACTGTGATTTCTCGAGAATAAAAGCGACGGGCAAAGGACCACTTTGTCAGGCAAATAGTACGACGCTACCTGCGCCCACACACGGCTTTGGGTATACATATACCTATTACATATATATATGAAAAACATTAATTGACAGGAGTGACAAAAAATTTGTTCGATCAACATATAAACAGTGTCAAGTAGTCATCGACGAGATTCGTAAAAATCGACATTCCTTACTGTATAAATTAATTTAACGCGTTACTTTGACTATCTTATGAGAAATATGAAACACGTAGACACACGTGTAACATATGTGGACACGTAAAGAAAAGAAAAAAAAATCAAATCTCTGAATTTTCCACGCAATTTATCCACCAAGCAATGCATTGTTCCAGTACCGGTTCAGGTACGACCTGGAACGTACGTCTGCACTGTTCGAAGGGTTAAAGGAAGCTGCAGAGTCTGTCAGGCGCTATTGGCAATAAGGACTAGGTGGTGCAAACCACGGAAATATTTTTACCAAAGAAGTGTAAACTAAATAAATTTTTATAAAGCACACAATCGATGAGACGAAGCTTTCATAAGATATGTTGACACAGAAGAAGAAAAAAAAATTCGAATAAATTTAATTAACGTGAGATGAAAGCTCTACCAAGTACCATATACAGTACTGTACAAGTATGACTGTATGTTTTTGAGTAGAAAAATTTTATATAATTTTTAAATGCATTTGACAAAATGTTATATTCAAATAACGTTACGTTCAAATAATTCATCATTTTTCTTATCTAACGTTGGTAGTCCGTTGAGCCTTAAGCGTTGAGCAGCTCCATTAACGGGATGGGGGGTTTGATCGAAATACTCGAGTTAGGCGCGATTTGGGTAATAAAATTATTAAATTTCATATATTTGCTCAAAATAAAGTGAAGGCCAAAGTGCACGTGCGCGTGAACGTGACAAGATTCATTTTCACGAAAAATGGTAATAATTATCAGACTTCTACCTCCGGTCGGCCAAAACTATGCTCTGACCGCTTTCGGAGGAAATATCAAACTAAATGACGTAATTCCGTGTAAAACGAAATTCCGGAAAATCAAATTGAAGTTTTAATCATTGAATTCGATTGAAAAGTTCATGTAAATCGTCGGCAAGAAAAAGAAAATTTAATACAGTATCGACATCCTGGTACGAATTGCTATAGTTAAGATCGCCACCACTGGGCTGATAGAAAAATTTTGATGCCGTCTTCCTAATGAAGTTCATAACGATAATAATGGTTAACAATGAAAAGTGCAAATTAATTGTGAAACCAATTACAAACAAGTTAATAGTGACATGTATATATATATATATATATATGTGTGTATATTAAAATTTTGCTCAACCAAATTAATATTACTGACGCGCGTATAAATTTGAAAAAAATAAGCAAAAACCAATTTCCGACAAAAAGTTACATTTGCGTTAAACACAATTTTTTCGAAAGTACATATACGCATAAATGTTCGAAAAACAATTCAGCGAGCTAGTACCGGTAATCATCGCAAAGTGGTATTCATTACCTTTTTCTTAGAGTCAATAAAAAGAAATCGTAAGTCACGTTGCAAGGGGTTCGCGTGAAAGCGTCGCGACGCTGCCAGGTAAAACGTGACAACAAAGTAGAGTCATGAGAGAGAGAGAGAGAGAGAGAGAGAGAGAGAGAGAGAGAGAGAGAGAGAGAGAGAGAGAGACGCGCTAGCCATAAGCAACCAGCAAAGGATAAAACAGAAGCAAAAAAGAGAACGGAATAAAGCAATAGAAAAGAAAAAAAAGAATAGAAAAGCCAAAACGTGAGAAAAATTGAAAGAGGGTGCAAAGCTGTAACAAGAAAAAATAAAGCAAAGCTTGAAAATTAAATTTTCAAACGTACGAGTTTCGCGGAAAGGAGAACGCCGACAGCGCATGCGCACTGTGTACACGCGACTAAGTTACCCGTAAAGAAAAACTTGTATAGAGTCAAACACGCAATTACCCTATCCCGTATACCAAGAGATTACACCTATGCCAAGGGAAGGGAAAAAAAAGTATACAAGACTCCTCGACAGGGTTTAATGGGGCTCGAACCCTTCGCAAAATAAGGAGGGAGGGTACACAGGGCATTAAGGGGAGAATCAAGCACGAGGTCTCCATTCGGCTTCATTGAAGGTGCACCCTCAATTGGTTCTGATATCCACACATAAACCTTATTGTAAAACCACGCGACCGCTCCTGTACCCATAACACAATGGACATAACATTTTCACCAACCCAAACGTCAAGCTGTCATTTACGAATTTTCGTAAACGACCAAATTTTATATGAAAATTGAAAACACAGGATGCTTAAGATAAAATGAAAATTCGCGCGCAATATAAAAATTGTATTTAAAAATATTTTTAAATTTCATAGACCTTAAGTCCAAAAAAAAAATATTTCTACAAATATCGATGTCAATGTCTTCGTCCATATCTTGAAGTAAAGTCCTCGCCTGTCTTGTCTGTCAATGGTAAGTTTAGGTACCAAATGTACAAAAACCATCGATTAAACATTTTTTTAGTTTCGTCTCGGCAACCCTCATCGACCGTCCCTACAATATTCGCTGTTTACGATATTAAGGGGTACAAGCTTATAATACACGTTTTATATCTCCCCCACCCTCAGAGGGTGGGGGGGTTGCTTATTTCTGACGACAGGAAAAAAAAACTTACGGGAGCGGCTGGATGTCTCGCCGGTGCGGGGTACATCTTAATCGTGTCACAAAGTTTGCCACCACCGAGTATTCCAGGTTCGGCTGTCAACTTTGGCAGACCGTCACTTCATCTTGACAGAATTTACCTTCAAGGAATTTCTCACCCTTTGCCCCCACCTCGTCACCATTAAGGTCCAAAAATTTTAAAGCTTTTCCAATTTATCGCATCACGTATCCTCACTGGTGTAAACGGAACAGAAAATTCATTCTCACACACTACGTTTTACCGCGTAATCCTCTATGTCTTTATATACATGTAGTATGTGTGTATATATGGTATATAATTCGTAACGAAATCCTTCTTCTCAGTCCCTTTCTTCTTTCTCTTCTTCTTCTTCAGTGTCACTTCATGAGAATCACTTACGCACCCGGTATAAACTCATTACTACTGTTTCAAATTTATTTTCACCACCGACACTCGGCCAAACTTCGAGCGAAAATTTCGTCCTGTCGATTTCACCGAGACATTTACAGTTACATCTATAATTCCTGTAAATCAACGTTTTTCCTTCCTTCCCACCAGTCGAATTCCGTGTACGTATCGTGTCAACAACTAAGAAACTTCTACTTCTTCATTTTCCACTGCATTCCGCGGACAAATACTTCGCTAGTCAAAACACACTATATATTAGAGTCTTGACGCGTTATGAACTCCGTTAAAATTTTTCCACGGATATCTGTGAAATTAACGTGTAAATATGAAGAGAAGCCATTAGGTGACACTTGACATTCCATTCGATTACGCGCGAACGCGAAATTATGACTTTTGACCTACAATCGTCGGATCGTCGAACGCCTTGCCAAAGTATGCAAAACTAATTGAGGTTAAATGGGACTACGTTGAGAAATTAAGATTGTAATATTTTTTTTCTTCTTCAAGGATCGCCAATTAATCACACCGCGAAAAATATTTTTATTGCGTATCAATCGACTGGCATAATATCGGGCGATGGTCGTCTCGGTCAAATGTCCAAAGTTAAAAGTAAACCAGAAGTTACGACGCAGCCGCCTTTACGGACGCCGAGGCGACAGGCGAAGCTCGGGTCGGCTAAAAACATGTAAACGATGGTTAAGAGCCGTGTAAAAAAGACACGGCCAGGTTGCCAGGAGCGAAATTACCAGACGCATAAGCTTTAACCAGGTAAAGATAAAAGTCTATACAACGTGAAGTTGAGTTTACGGAAGTTTAGGAAAAAAAAAGAGTGCACGCGGAAGTAAAGACGTGAAAGTTACGTTTGGATTGTTTTGAGAGAACATATAAATATAAATTCCCTATAATATAATAAAGGAAGTTTACAATACCCGGCGCGTTACTTACGTTAATTCGAACCTTCGGCCGATAGAGGATGTTTACATGAGGAAACGCGTTTCCCGATTGGTAAGGTTGTAAAAACGTTACGAAGACGTCCGATACGAGTGGGTAGAATTTACAAAGGTTCGTCAGACGACTTTAACAAGAGTTAAATGACGAGGTCTCTATACTCCATTTTCAAGGAATTCTTATAATTTACCGCGAGCGTAATTGATGGTTTACGAACGATCTGAAGTCCGGTATGATGCATCGATCGATTCGTTTATTGGGTTTATTGGGTTCTCGATGTCTGATCGATGGGAGAGGGACTGAGAGAGGGGAAAAAGAAACAAAGAAAAACAATAGGTCTTGCCGGCGTAAACGATCCTGTGATCAAGGTAAATTCCAACGACAATTACGAGGACCGTCGAGCATATCGCGCGATTTGTCACGCTAAAACGCACTCAGCGAAACGTACACGCTTATGCTACGTTACTGGATGCTGATTCGTTGCCGGTAACAAAACGAAATAAAGGGATGCGTGGAGAGAAAGAGTGTGTGCGTGTGTGTGTGTGTGAGAGAGAGAGAGAGAGAGAGAGGCCACGTTACAGCCAGTTCGTTAGGATCGAGGACGATCGAGTACGAGGGCAGGGCGACACACGGTATTTGGAGGGTCGACCGATAGCGATCAAAACGCCGGGTAGAAAACGGCGAGGCCGAATCAGCTAAGCCCGTCGACTCGCATGAGCGCGAAATTAAACGGAGAAACACGTTAGTGAGCAAGAAACCAAAATCCAATCTACACAACGAAACGAGCCGAATAATAATTCACTTCTATTACGGCGCGAGCGTACTGACATTTAGAACAAGGAAGAAACCAAACAAATATAACACGTCGGTATCCCATTGTCAATAGATCAACATTTTCTGGCACGCACATTCCTCCAAATTTCCTTTTACCTGCAACTTCACGCGCATTCTCGATGCACCACACTTAACCTCCAAATTTTGACAAGCCGACGATCCTCCGAGTACATACAAAATATGAAATACACTCGTTAAGACCTCAGAGAGCACAAGGATAACACCACAATACGTAAGAGACACGCGCGGCTATTGAAGGGAACGTGCACGATTCGTACAATGAAGCTTCGAACGAAAACACTCCCGTCCGTCCCGAGCAACGAACGACGCTCGACTGCGTGCTGGGCCTCCAACTGGATGACGGGGAACGTGTTAACGCCGCTTGCCGCCGCACCAATGAGAATACACTAGCACTGTCTCACCTTTCTCACGTATAAAACACGCCAATAGCGTCGCGTACACCAACACAGCGTCATAGTCAGCACGCGAGTGTCTCTCACCGATCTCTTTTTTCTCTCTCTCTCTCTCTCTCTCTCTCTCTCTCTCTCTCTCTCTCTCTCTCCTTTCTCATTCTATCTCCGTCAGTCGTTCCCTCTCACTCAAGCTCGCAACCTCTCGACACCGACGCCACCGCACTGCCGACGTCGTATTCTCTCTTTGTCTCACACACACAAAATAATACTCATTCTCCATCTTCCTCGCTCTCACCCCCACTCTGATTCTCTCTCTCTTTCGCGTCGCCCCCACCACCATTTACTCTTAGCTATCCTTTCGTCTCTCTCTCGCACTCTCCTCAGCTAAACCCTTCTCCAGCTTGCTCTGTCTGACATCGTCCCTGTCACACACTCGCAACACGCCACAATGGAAACCGAGTACCGCCGAATGTTGTGACCCTGCGCGCATGCGCAGACGCCTTTGTACGTGAAGAGTAGAGTGTCGGAGAAAGAGAGAGAGAGAGAGGACGAGTGGGAGTGGAAGTGGGACAGAAAGAGACATATATATATATATAGAGAGAGAGTGTATGGAATTTCCGAGAGATATAGAAGTGCCGGTGCGCCTGGACAGCACTAGTCATTCGGTAAGGATAGAAGTTCCCTGTGTGTCGAGTGTTGAGTGTCGAGTGCGGAGTGTGGGAGTACGGAGGCTGCCTCTCTGTCGTCCGTATTAACGCGCGCACTGTGTTCTACGTATATCGCAGTCAGACTGGACTCCAGAGATGAATCTTGAATTCGGTTAAACGACCACCGGGTGTACCTCGCTAAATCTAAATTGTCCGCGGACACTGGGTGCTTCTCGTAGAGCGTATTAGAAAGGAGTCGAATACTGTGCAATTAGATGCGTCTGATTAATCGGAATTGATTGTACTTACTTTTAAGAAACCAGCTTGTGCCTATTGACTGATTATTGATTGTTTATTGTATATATATATTTTTTCCAATAACTATCTCATATAATTTTGCTTTTTATTAATCGTGCTATATACACTCTTATTGAGTGTCAGTGCGTCAGGATATTGATTCCAAGTCTCTTCTAAGTATCTAAACTATATTAAAATAATTAATTGAATTGATGAGGACAGCCAAATCATTCTTGGAATTAGAATCAGACATATTTATATATGTGAAAAATAATAAATTGTATTGTCTCTGTTGATTTAAAAAAATCATATTGTTCTTACTATCTGTATTAGGATTTTAATTATACGAAGTTTAATTACTATCTCTGATTAAGCAGCCAATTACAATTTGTTATTATTGTATGAAATTTTTAACGATAGGTTCAATTATGTATACGTCAACAAAGCATAAATTCTAGTGCATCTTTATGTAACTTATTCTTATACTTATATCTATGTCACCTTCGTTGATACAATTCTCATAATTGTCAATTTCGAAATTCATTAAGGCTCATATACAATAATACATTGAAGACGATCGTAACGTATTTTTTTTTACCTGGACTCATAATCCTGCTAAATCCCATATTTTCACTTTCGCAAGCACATGCCATTATCTGAATGCGGTAACGTCTAAGCAGGTTCCAACCCAAACTAATATTTAGACACAGGCGCGTTCGCGCACATGCGATAGCTGCATAATGTTGGTCGCAACCAAGATCAGAAAACATAAACGCGGCTTATCATTATCCGTGTACTTAATGATAGCTGAGAAAAATTGCAAATGCAACCTAACAATTTTGTCAACGGTTTTACATACCCCGAAGATTTATTAGGGTGAAAGTATTCTTAGAAAATGCAGCGGGTAAGGGTCATTTGGAGGAATCGATAGTTTGAAATTATTGGAAAGCCGATCGATGAAGACAAATGGACGGGGATGAGAAAGCACGATGGAAATTGTGTAAGAAATTGTACATGATTACTATGGCTATGAAATCGATGAAATTGATTTCATTTAACTGATAGCCGTGGAAAATGGTAATCGCTTCCTTGGGCTATAAAGCTGCAAGGGATATTTTCATTATGGTAGTAACACGAAATTATATATATATATATATATGTGTGTGTGTGTGTGTGTGTGTGTGTGTGTGTGTGTGTGTGTACATATATATATTGTAAACTAATGGCGCTTAACGATTAAAAAAAAAAAGTGTGTTAATTTATTAATATTTTTCAAAATTACGTCTAATGGGAGACATGACTTGTTGATTACGGTAGAAAACTGTAGGAAGGATTGGTAATGAAAATTTTCGAAAAACAGAAGGTTGAATACGTTCGAAATAATTATACACGAGTTATCTCCAAGTGCATACTTTAGTTTCGTATAGTTATCCCCTCCCCTAATTATGTCCAGTATAAAGAATATAAATTCAAGGTATTCTAAAAACGGAAAAATTTACCTCAACCACGAGGTACACGTATATGCAATAACCCAATTTCACTTTCGCTGATTTAGCTGGGGTCATTCGATCCCACGATCGACCGCTTCAATCAACCGCAAGCATGAACGCATCCCAAAGATGCATCCAGTCCGACACAAGGACCGACTCGTCCATAAAGGTAAAGTGCATCAGAAACAATGACACATTAAAAAGATCCATGAGCGCGTATGCGATATCCTAACCTTAACGTTAAAAAGTCGTAGCCACTTGGCTCGCCGTTAGTTTCTTTGTGCCAGATCGGTACACGAGTGCGAGTGAGACAGAATCAGTCACGACCATTACCGACTCGAGCGACATGGAGCGTCGGCGGCGCAGCGTTGCTAGGTCGTTTCGTGCATGAAGGTTCCTCTTTCCCTTCGTTATTCTCTCCCTGTTTCACCCTGTCTCTTGCCGTCTCTATTCCTTTACTTCCACGCTTGTTCTTCTCGCTCGCTCTCTCTCTCTCTCACTCTTCACCAACAAGGCACCATGCCGCCATCTCTCAATAGTCGAGCTCCCGCCGACTCCCACCCCCGAACAACTCCGAGCAACTCCGAGGACGGATTGCGAGCGAATGCCTAGGAGTGGCGCAGGAGATGTACTTTTCCTCTGGTTCTGCCACTATTGCCCACTGTTGCCGCCATCACCTTCTGTCCCCACTCCTGTCGCCGACTAATCCCCACTCCTCGACCGAATACGAATAATCCCCACTCTTAGTTTCTAGCCAGCAACCGACTTTTCCCTCTCTCCCCGGCCGCTCCACACTACTGTCTACGCTACTAGTCCGACTCTCTTTTGCAAGAGACTCTTTCATTCCACGAGCTCCGTGCTGCTCGCAGTATTCTTGCGACACTTTTCTCATCTATAAGTTACATTCGTTCTACGTCTGTGTCTCTGACCCATCTACAACCGGCTTTTTTCTCATTCAACGAGACCCTCCTGCCCGCGCATGCCGCTTCTCTGTCTTACCACCAACATCACATTTTCTTCATTCCCCTTTGACGTTTCGTGAGAAATACAATTGTGTTTCTTTGTACTTTCGCAATTATCACGAGACCGTAATCAACCGTGGATTAAGACTGATGTTCAACTGTATTACGAATTTGCTAGTTTTACTTTTAGATTGGAAATCTTCGCGCGAATTTGTTTTTCGTTTGACTAGCGTCGACCTGGGGTGTCTCAGCGCCTCTGCACGCCTAATACTGGGTTAAGGATGTTTCGTAGTGTTGAACGTTTTTATTTGAATTTATTGAGGTTAAACCTTGATTGGTGGGGTTGGCTTGTTTTTCATTAATTATATCGGTATTATGAACACGGAAATTCATTTAATGAGGTATGGTAAGTTATGGAGATATAGCATTGATTGAACATATCGGTCGGACGAAGCTGATCGTTCAAGTTGCCTTTTAAGGACTGTTATTTTTTACTCGGCGACAACAAATTGGCCCGTGACTAACGGCGATTCAGTGCGAGTGCGCCTTGATGAATCCTCAACATTCGTCAATGTCCAGGAGAATCGTTATTCGTTGCTACGTGCTCGGTCGATGTTTTACTATCGGGGACTTTAGGAGCTTACGTTAATTTGCAACGGGATGGCTTGTCAATAACAGTAAGATCGGAAAATGTCGAGATCTTTATTCTGTTAGTAAAACCACAGGTAAAAGTTTCATTTGCCACGATGTTTTCGCCATTGTGGTGTTTCACGTCTTTCTTAAAGATAGTTCGAAATATTGAAAAACATAAGAGAACTTCAACACGTGATTTTGTTTTGACATTTTTCGATGTAATTTTCATGATTTTTGAGGTGCGCCAGATTTATTGATTGAGAAAATCATTATATGTCACAATCATCAGTGAGAATGATAAGTTGTGGAGATAAGATCGTTTACAGACATGTTTGAATAATTAAAAATGTCAATAGTCCTGAGTAACACGAGATAAAAGGCACGTACGAGAATTTAAGGTGCTGTTGAGGTATGTAACGACTTTTTGAAATTTTTTTTATTTCCCCTTTACCAATAAATCAGAATTGTTTATCGTTAAATCAATATCCTACGTGTAGCTAATGTATTCAAGATAACGTTTGGGGGCTGACAATGATTTAAGACATACGTTAACTGCTGACAACTATGCTCAGCAAAAGAACATTTAATTGTTCCGTAGAGTAATTTATCTCGGCGATACTTTATTTTTCAAAAAGCCCCGTTTATATATTTTATTTTCAAGCACGAACAGAAAGCGTCGAATGTTTCCAATAAATAAATTTTACCCAAATAGGGTAGAGCTCTGTTTGACAAGTACTAATTCAAGACAAGAGAGTTCTTAGAATTCTGCTTAAATATAACTAGGCTAACACGCAATTCTCAGAAAACGACTGTCACATACGGTTCCTCTATTTCTCCAAGAATAAATAAAAGAACCTTCGTTCCTAACATATTATTACAGAAGTAGCTGGGTAAAGAGGAAATCGCCATTGAATAGAATTTATCGACACGAGTTTCCATGTACCTCGCAAGGTGCTGCCCTCTGCCGAGAATTCCTGCGAACCCTGAGATATCGTAAAACCAGCTGACAGTAGCGTCGCAAAAAGTCATTGAAAGGATTCTAGAAGTGGCAAGAAAATATCAAGAGTGACGAGGACCGGCGACCAGCGTTGGAATCATACACGGAGGACACTGTACCACGAATATAAAGAGAGTCAGGGAGAAAGGAAGGCATTGGGAGTGGGAGAGAGAGTACGTAAAATAGAAGCACCGCATACAACATTATCGAAGAGTGGGGAGTAGCAATCGACGCGAACACCATTGGTTGAATTAAGCTAAGCTTAGCAGTTGTCGAGACGTCGAGTGGAGAGGTTCGGTTTTCTTCGAGGTAGTGGTCGCGTGTTTGTCAGCCGATAACGTGCAGGTAACGACGCTTGGATTACTAAGCTCTGCGTGATTATAACAGTGAACCGAGCTAACGTCTACCGCATTCCTGTCATCCAACGGATACAGAGACAGCCGGACGAATAGGCATAAAGCTTGTGCAAAGGAGTCAACGATCACGAGGAAGGAGTGCAGAGAGAAGAGCGAGTGAGAAACAGTGAGCAAGAAGAGAAATAGGAAGCAACTGACTGGCGGAACGGACAAAGGAAGCGCCGAGAGTCGCACGAGGGGCTCTCATGTGCTCTGCCGTGTTCTTGGGCGTAGCATGAAAAAATGGATTTTAGAGGCGTCGTGTACAACGCAGCGAGAGATGGCAAGCTTAAGCGTTTGAAGGTACGTTTTTTATATTCCGACTATATGCTACTTATATTCCAGTTGTCGTTTCCTATTCGCGAGCTTTGTGAAACCACGTACAAGTGGACGTGTGAACGCAGCATAAGGCCTCGGTCTAACGTGTTACCATGGCAGGTGTCTGGCAATCGTATACATTATTTTTCATTGAATATCGACACGTCCAAATTGTGCATGGCGTCATTCCTTGATTCACGGCAAAGACAAGTGTCTTGGATTTCGAATTTTCAAGACGGCAAAGAGTAAATTTTCTTTGTCAACGGGTCCCATTGTTTTGAGAGCAATATAACGGGTGTCGATCTGTCACGAATCGACTCGTTCGACCTGAACGAAGCTCTAGAACAACTTACGAGAGCCAATCGTTATTAGGTTCTCGTTGCCACGCAACACCTCGCTATTTTCTGTTTAGTTTCACGACACGTCAACCTTACACAAACATCTTTGTTTTTAAGTAACTGGCCACTTAGGTTTTAACATATCAGAGATTACTCAATGCACTGACAAAGATCGTGCAGCCCTCGACGACGTTCTACGATCTAGCGGGTGCGCCAAAAATAATAAACTATTCTCGGCAACTCGACGTCTCTCACCACGGAACCGTTATATCCAGTGAACGGGCCCGGGTGGTTTATCATCTTTTTCTGTCACTGTCTCCATTTCTCTTTATCAAGGACGGATAAACGGTGCAGCCAATCACCTTTGTTTATTCGAAACGAGCTCACTCGCTTCACGAAAATGGACTCTCGCGACGTTTACCAAACGTACCGGGTGTTAGGGAAAAAATGCGATTGCGCAAATACTTTGATTTTTTCTTTTACTCCACCGAGCTGGAACCTATGTACCACTACAAGTAACACATGGCACTCATCGAGAGAGAGAAAAGAGACAAATTTCTGCTCTCTTGGCTCGCGTTTATCTTGAGCAGGAAATAGCCCCAGCAAACAGCAGTTATATTTAGTAGTGAATATATGCGCGTCTAGCGGGTCTGCTCGGTTACGTGTTGCCAGCGAGAAAGAGGGGAAGCCCCACTCTCGCCTCTTGGCCGACGGAGGGGAGGATTCTAGAGAAGAAGAGAATGGGACTGGAGGGTATGCTTACGTTTAATTCTCCTCGTCTCGAGAATTTCGCGATTTACTGATATACCAGATATAGGAATTTCTATCACCGTTGTATTTATCGATCACCTTGTATTAACACCAGGGATAATTGTCGTATTTTTTTGCCTTCTCAATTTAAAATATTTCAAGCCGCTTATGCGTTTGACCTAAAAATTAACGTGCTCAAGGACGCGTCGCTTTGACTCACCAATTCTCACATATTCTAAGACGAGTTTGTCATCAATGAATCGTAATTGGACTTAATGAAAATATTGTAATTTATTGAACGCATTGTTATCATCTGCCCGTATAGCTATAATTGACCGTGTTTGCGTCGTCGTTAAGCCACTGGGAAGAGGACGTCGTCGCTATGTATTTTCCGACGAAATTTAATCGGCTTTACGAACAACTGGAAAATATCCTTGGGCTATTTTTTTTTCTCTCTACATCCTACACCGTTTCACCTTCCGTCGCAACGTTTTTCCCCGTGCTTCACGGACGTTGAACTTTTGAGTGCATTCCTCGCGCGTTAAAGTTCATGCACGCTGAAAACCGTTGACATTCACCACGCACTCCGTATACGTAGAAAGGAGGCAGCATGTACGACACGGCAATTTCCAATTATCGTAATTCCCCTGTACATTCTCATTGAACAATCTTGATAAATTACTGTCTTCTCTCCTTCCTCTTCAATTTTCACCAACCAATCCATGCATAAAATGGTACCACCCTGTGAATAAAAAAAAAAAAAAAAAAAAAAAAAAAAATTCTTTTTTTTTTTTTCAAATGTCTCCACAAAGTAAAGTGCGACAAATACAAGTATAATTAACGAAACGCGAAATTTTCGTTATTTCGAATTTTTCGTTGTCCAAAAAAAAAAATACATTCGACGTCACGTATGTTTTTCATACTCGTAATCTCAAGGTTCGGATTCATTGCGACACACGAAACTCCAAGTGCAGCTTAATGCAGACGCTTCTTATCGTATTCCAAATATACATGTTTATATTAATTTCTCGACGATGCATCAGCGTTCACTTATCCCTGAGTTAAAATCAATTAAACGGGTCATACGCAATTATTTTTTATCTCAAGTCACAAATTCTCCACATATTATTTCGAGGTGACTCGACAACACTATATTTCGGGTGTCCAAATACGTGCTATCTATTTTTTGTTCTTTTCCAATCTCCATAGATATGTCTAAGGAAAGAGTAAGGCAAACCAACTGTATCATAATTGTCAGTGATCCGTTAAAAAATTATTGGCGATTTTGATAACATTTTTCAAATTAAATGGCACCCGTGTCATATCACTGTAGAACAACGCAACACATGCCGATGCCTTTGAGGCATATACTTGCGGTTTTAATAACACAGTAATTTATTAACTCGATTTAATAAATTATTCATCACCCGTATCGTTCGCCTCTTACACTGGCTTCCTACTCCGATGCTCAAAAATAATCTCACCTTATTTATCGTATCGTCGAATCGCTCGAACTATGAAAATCTCTAATGCGGGTTACGATTGCCACCCGATGATCTACTTTAATGCGATATTTTTAATTGGGAGATATAATACATAAAAATTTATATCTTTTTTTTTTTAGATGCCTCAGGTCCTTTACTAATGGCTCCAAAATTTCTTCCTTGGTCTTTGTCCCTCATTACGTAGATATCTCTGAGCGCTGGCTAATTGGCAAATGTTTTTTTTCACTTCCCGTATGTCGATTTGCTTTTCTACCCGTATACGCATATTTATCTTATTTTTCGAATTCATGGCTCCCCTTGACCTTGTGTCCGTTTTGATTTAGTCTTAAGAGCATAGCGTTAAAATTCATGCGATATTATAACTACGAAAAAGGTAAAACTCGGTAGAAAAATTAATATATTATCTAATTGCTGTGAAACAAATTTAATTTTCGTATTGCAGTGATAAAAGGAAAATTATTGAAAAACAGGTAAAAAATGCTGCCACCACCTAGACGCGTATAAAGTTGAGACAGTCAATTCTGCATTATCATTTGAAATAAGCATCATAATTCAGTGCTCTCTAGTTGCTCCAATCTCAATTTTGTTGATTTAACCGTTTAACCGGAAGTACCGTCTGTGCCACAGTACAGTTACAGTTACTATAGCCGCATGGAAAAAAAAAAAATAAAATAAAATATGGAATAAAACGTGAATATTTGGATTTTTTTTCTTATCCGGTGCCCCCCTAATTTTTAATCGGTACAAGACAGCAATCAAATTTGATCCAAAAGAAATAATTAGCATTATTGGGTTGTTATACCGGCATAAAAAGATTAACCTGTATATCGTATAATAAAAACTTGTCAGCTGTTAGCGTACAAACGTATATCGTATAAACCGCGTGATTTTGGACTCGTCTTCGGTATTCTCTATACTCACTTTCCATATTACTCCGCTATATTTACCCACGTCATTTACATCCTGACCAAGACCAGTTTCGAATTCGAAAATTCATTACGGTTGCTTCGAGATGTATTGCGAATCGACAAGACTTCACGTCAGTGAATTTGGCACGAGTGACTTTGCTCAGGTTTTTTTTTTTTATTTTTTTTTCCACTCACGCAAATAGTCAGGGAACTATCTGCGTATGCCATAATGCGATTGCGCACCGGAAGTCAATCTGATCCTTTTCGAACGAGACACTCGTTACGTCAGGTTTCCGTATGGTTTTGAATTTTGTGAAATAATTTTTTTTTTTTTTTTTTTCTCAAAATAAAATTACACCACCTGACACGCTTGCGAAGTCAGGCGATTGAAAATTTATTTTGTCTACTTCTTATTTTCTAATGATAAATTTTTTTCGCGAAATTTGAAAATTCACGTCAATTTATGTATACACCGCATTTGGTGAACTTTGACCGTTGACCTTTCGTTCTTGTTCGATACGCTCAAAGAACTGTAATGTCTACGTAGTGTTCTGACTTGGTTCACTGGTCAGCGTTCGTAATCGTAACGCCAGACAATCAGTAGCAACTTATTGCGTAAACTATGACCTCGCGAATTCTTAAATTTTATTTAAATTTCATTGCCAATTTCCAGTGTGTCTTACTTCGTGTCATTTGCAAAATTGTATTCGCACATTGAGTTATGACAAAAAAAAGTTGCTCAGGTCGACTTGAGTAAGGCACGTGATACAGAAGTTAAAATAATTGATTACGCTGTATCGTTAACGTCAATGCTAATTTCACATACGTTAGACACACCTTGGTTAATACCACTTATGGGGCTTTCGATATACGGGGTTTGTATGCCCCGCAAGACTGTCAAATAAATGCGCTTTTGGCCTTATGCTATTTACATACCAGTTTATTCGATCCACCCGAACGTGCTTTTACCATAAGACTCGAACGGGAGCACTAACTTCATGTGGTGCGTTTCTGTTAACTAAACCTGTATACGTAGTCGGTCCACGAGTTCCACGTGGCTTTTTGACAGTTCGCAAGTAATGCGCTCCTAGCCAAATGACACGTGGTTCTTCATACTTTCGACGTGTCTAAGTACCGAAGGCATGTTTAAGTTGATTATCATTTTCTCATTTAGCTTGACTCGCTTAGTTTATAAATTTATGCTTGTGTCACGGATTTATCGTGAGCTCCCATAAAAGACGAAAAGGAAACAATGAGGCGCCCACGATAAACTTACCGTTCACGTGGATCACGTTATCTGCACGATGTTAGTGTCATTTGATTTTATCGAGAGGAAAGTTTAAAAAAAATTTTTTCGGCTTTTTTTTGTTATTTTCAAATTTTATCCTCCTTATCTACATCGACGCTGCCTTTATATCGTCGTTTTATTCTTTCCAAAATTATGGTTTTCATTGACCCTTTACCTGAAGCCCGCCACATATATT